TATTACATGGATTGTTAAAGGGTCTTATTTTAAAAGAAGAAGAAAAAAATATGAACAATAAATACATATCTATCAACAATTGAATCTAAAAAAACAAATGAACAAGCAGAACAGAAAAAAAGGAATAGAACTACCATATGACTCAGCAATCCTCTTCTGGGTATCTACCTAAAAAAATTTTCAAATTTTTATTTATAAGGATATATGTACCCCTATGTTCATTACAACATCATGCAGGGTAACCAAGACATAGAAACAACTTAAGTATATCTTGATGGATGATTGGATAAAGAGAATGTGGTACCCAATAGAATACTATTCAGCCACAAGAAAAGATGAAATACTGCCATTTGCAACAACATGGATGTATCGAGAATATTGTGCTAAGCAAAATAAGATTGGAAAAGACAAGAACCATGTCATTTCACTCACATGTAGAATATAAAACAGAAAGAAAGAAACAAACAAACAAACTCTGATACAGACAACAGAAGGATGATTACCAGATGAGAAGGGGAGGGTATAAAGAGGGTGAAGGGAGAAAAATTTATAGTGAAAGAAGGAGACAAGACTTTGGTTGATGTGCACACAATACAATATACAGATAATGTATTATTACATAATATAGTATACTTCAAATGATGTAATGTTATTAACCAACTTCACCCCAATAAAGTTATAAAAATATAGTAAATTTTAAAAAAGGAAATGTGAAATTAAAAACTTTGGTCTTATAGAGGCCAAGTTAGTAATAACATCACATCTAAGTATATGATTATATTTTAACATAGAAATTCTACTTCTGGTTATTTATCTTAAAAAATGAAAATGGATGTGCATGAATTTTATCTATTGGGTTCATTAAGTACTTTATAAGGGGGAGATATCCTGGCAGGGAGTCTCTCTGGGCATGGATTTCCTAACTGTAATCTCTTTCCCAGTTTTTTGTATGAAATTGACCTATTTAAGCCTCCTATTTCTACCTGGGTCAATTTTGCTAAATGATAATTTCCTAAGGAAGTATTTTCTTTAGGTTTTTCTTTTGTGTTGTAGTAGAGGTGCATATTATATTATTACTAGAGGCCCAGTGCATGGATTCGTGCACCAGTGGGGTCCCTCAGCATAGCTTGCGGGGATTGGGTTGAAACCAGCAGTTCAATGCCACCTGCTGCTCCTGCCTACTGGTCCTGCTCATCCTGGTCCTGCTGTGCCTGCTGCAGCCACCTCTCAGTAGGCTTGCTGTTGCTTTGCCGTGGTCTCCGAGCTGTGGCGGCCAGCTGTGAGCCCTGTGTCTGGCACCCATTGGTCAGCTGAGCAGTGCTCCCACTGTGGGAGCACACTGACCGGAGGAGAGAGAGAGAGACTTAGAAACATCAATGATGAGAGAAACATTGATCGGCCGCCTCCTGCACCCCCTACTGGGGATCGAGCTCACAACCCGGGTGTGTGCCCTTGACTGGAATCGAACCCGGGACCCTTCAGTCTGCAGGCTGATGCTCTATCCACTGAGCCAAACTGGTTAGGGTGAAATACTTAATTTTTAAGCAATTATTTTTTTTCCTCATCCAAGGGTATGTTTATTGATTTTGAGAAGAAGGGAGGGAAGGAGGGAGGGAGGGAGAGAGAGAGAGAAAGAGAGAATAGAAACATCCATCAGCTGCCTCCTGCATGTGCCCTGACTGGGAATCAAACTTGCAACTTACTTTTTGTTGTATAGGACAACTCTTCAACCAACTGAGCCACCTGGCCAGAGCTAAGCAAATCTGTGGAAAAGCTGTGTATTGTTTTGTAATTCAATTATAGTTAAGCTAGAAAATGGATTAATAAGTAGCCACTATATGTAATTCTTAAAAATATTATTTAAGGACATGAAAAACTATTGCAGTAGACATAATGGGAAAAGAGATTAAAGAACACCATTTACAGTCTTTTATTCCTTTTTATTGAATTTATTGGGGTGACACTGGTTGACACACTTATACAGGTTTCAGGTGCACAATTCCACAAGACATCATCTGTACACTGTATTGTGTGTTTAGCACCTCAAGTCAAGTCTCTGTCCATCACCATCACCGCCCCCCCCCACCCCCCCGCTTTACCCTCTTCCCTCTCTTCCCACCCCACCTTCCCTTGGCAGTCACCACACTATTGTCCCTGTCCTTGAATTCTCTCTCTCTCTCTTTTTTTTTCTCAATCCCTCCACCCTCCCACTCAGCTCCCCAACCCCACCCCTAACAGCTCTCAGCCTCCTCTCTGAGTCTGTCTCTATTTTGTATGTTAGTCTATCTCTATTTTTCATGTTAGTTCATTTTGTTTATTAGGTTCCACATATGAGTGAAATCATATGGTAGTTTTCTTTCTCTGACTGGTTATTTCACTTAGCATAATGCTCTCCAGGTCCATCAAAGCTGTCACAAAGAGTAAGATTTCCTTCCTTTTTTATAGCTGAGTAGTATTCCATTGTGCATTTACAGATTTTTATTAGAAAAATTTTATGTGCTTAACTGATTATATCTGCATTTATCACATATATTTATATTACATATACACAATGTGCACATACAAAGTATATATTGTCTTCCCAATATATGCATACTTATTTATTTTACATGTTAATCAAGAGCATTCTTCCTGTGTAAACTTTATGTATTTTTTCTTGTTTTCTCTATTTTTCCCAATATTCTACATCTCTTTGTAACCTACAAAGTATTTTGCAATTCTAATATTTTTTTATTTTTCATTTACAATTTGCATTCAACACTATTTGTTATTAGTTTCATGTATTGTGATTCTAATCTGACATATAAGTCTGACATACAGAAATGTGAAGAAAGAGTCTAGTTCTGCTCAGGGATATTAGATAATAGACTTTTAAATCCTGAGGTTATTGTATGCAACTAGCAAAATACATTTCATCAGTTATCCACAATAAAAAGATTGAAATCACACAGCAGTAAAATGTATAAAAATCATTCATGCATGGATACATAGCCAACTACTATTAATATATTTCCTTAAATTATATATTCTTCCAGTATCCATTTCTATTATATCTGTTTCTTTGAATAAAGAAAATATGTATATGAAAAATTTTTGTTAAGCTCTATAAGATATACAAGGAAATATGTGCCCTATTATTTGTCCTCAAAGAGCTTATAGCACACATATTTCAAAACAATAATCCTATATAATAAAAACCTAATATGCAAATAGACTCAATGGCAGAACAACCAGTTGTGATGATACACACTGACCACAAAGGGGCAGACACTCAATGCAGTAGCTACCTCCAGCCTGCAGGCCCCAGGCCAGCCAAGGTGGGTGCCAGTGGGGGATCCCCCAATAGCCCCACCAGTCACCCCACAGATCAGTCCTGATAGTAGGGCAAGCCTAGGACCCTGCTGTGCACAAATTTCGTGCACTGGGCCTCTAATTCATAATAAAAGGCAATATTCAATCTGTCTGATGAGTGATGTAGACACATTAGTCCTGAAAGTCCAGAGAACAATCTCATTGTGGTTCATGGCTCCCAAAGGAGACCAGAAGAGGAGGCTGAACTTGAAGTTGGTCTCTGAAGAATTCATAATCTTTGGGGAGTGGAGTTCATTCTAAGTTGAAAGAAAACAGCCAAACACCAAAGTGAGTTCCTTAACATGCACATAGAAATTCATGCATAAACAGGCTTGACTTAGATACTGGCTTTCATTCAAGTTTAGGATAAATTTGGAAAGAGTACCTCAAATTACCAGGCTGAGGAAAAAATTATATTTAACTTATAAAGAACAGAATATTTCATAATACCCAGAGTTTTCAAGCAAAGAAATTATCAAATTCTTTATTTCATCACTTTGAAAATGATGGAAGAGTAATCTTGTTTGTAAAATGATTAAATAATCCAGAGTGCAGAAATTGCACCATGATGAAACCAAAAGGAAATAAGAACTGAAGTGGCGCCTAGTATGAGAGCAGTATTTCCTTGATCCTTCTTTTCAAATAATTACAATGTTGGGGGTAACACAAACCTGTCAAAATGCCTTCCACATAGTAATGTTCGATATATGATGGATGGATATATGAATAAATAACCATTTGGTTGATGAACCCAATAAAATGAACAAGAGCCATCATGTAAAGCCTGGAAGGAAATTGCCTTTAGATAGCTCACTTTCTGCTTCATTAAAGATTAACTCATTTTTATCTACATATGACATGTGGCTGGACAAGGAAACTGACCCTTTTTGTTCTACATTTTAAAGACAACTGAAGAGCACAAACAGCAAACAAATGAAAACAAATGAAAAACAGAAAAATGAAACAAGACAAAACAAAAACCTGACACATTCCACATGTCAACAAACTAAAATAATGTATTGTTGATTGGTTGTCCCTCAGGGAAAAGTAGCTAAAACACCTCTTGAGGAAGGAGCTTAAAGGTTTCCAGGTGGCTTTTACTCTGTCAGAACTCATTATGTGATTGGGGACACATATTTACAGGCTGCTAATACCCAGCTGATAAGAAACCATATCTGAATTATTTCTAAGTGCCCTGGGAGCCCAAAAGGAGTGAAGCGTCTCTGCTTAGATGTCACTCTCAATCAATTGCAGTTACCTGAGTTGTCATTTACCCATAATCAGGAACTAAGACTTGAACCTGAATCAAGCTTCAATTTCCTTAACTTGAAATTCAGCGAAAACAGTCAAGAACTAAATAAAAGAGTCAATATTAGTAATTTGATAGTTTGCCTTTTCAAATCACGAGGTAATACAGAAATACATTTTACTCTAGTATACCAGTTACTTAAGAGCCAAAGTTGATTTCTAATCTTGATTAACTGTTTTGGTGGTTGTTTCTGCCACTGTGGTCCTCCCTTTGGTATAATTAATAAAATGCGAGTTCATATATTGTTTCCATCTGTAAGCTGTTTAGTAAACTAAGGGGATATGAACTCAGTCCTGGTTTATTTTCTTAATATTTAAGATCTACTATGTTTATTACACAGTTTCCTTCTGAAGAACTACACCCTTGGGTGGCCATTAGAACCTGGGTGCAGTTAAGCCAGGTAAATTCTTTGTTTTTCAGTTTCTCCATCTAGTCTATTATCTAATAGGTTGGACTAAAGGGTCTCCAAGGCCTATTCTATTATTGGTTCTGTCATTATTTATGATCCTATGATTTCAATTTGGTTTCCAACCAAACTGATGAGACCTTCTAAAAGTTCAAACCTGAAGGAGAATAGTGCATTTGTCTCAGTGTATCAGCTGTGGACCTGAGTGAGCTTCGATGTGACAGAGCCTACTTATATGCACACTATGCGTCCCATCTTTCCCAGACATTTGTCTCACTTGATTAGAGTGGTGGTTCTCAATGGTGGTCCCTGGACTAGCACCATCAGCATCATCAGGGGACTTGTTAGCCAAACAGATTCTCAGATCCTGCTCCCAACCCACTGAACCAGAAACTCTAGAGGGGAAAAACTTTCTGAGTGTTAGTAAGCCCTCTCCATGTTGCTGATGTCATTAAACTTGAGGACATTGCTTATGAGGTTTGAGTTGCAGGTTCAAACTCTGAAGTAGCTGCTGATTTAATGTATCTCCTGACCCTAACCTAACTCATAACATTACTAATTACCTCCATTGTTCATCACAGAGATTGGGACACGCTGCTTGGCTGGATCAGTTCTACTGCAACTCAGATCTTGAGCTATTAATTTAGACTGAATGTGTTTTCAATAAGCCTTCAATGGCATCTGTTGCTCTGGTCATCAACTCCATACAAATGAAATATTTCCTTTCATGTATCTTGAATGAAACCCTGTCTTTGATTAGATCTGTTTCCTTGCTATATTCTTTCACTCATTCTTGTTCCCTACCATCTCCACAGCGTTACTCAACTGTTTTCTCTACTGCCTGCAGTAAATTTTGGATTTTCTAACAATTCAAATGATCAAAACTTGAAGATAATTACCATTTCTGAGAAGCTGGTCCTTAGTCTCATCCCATGGGCATGCCTACTTTAAAAAAAAAATCTCTCTCTTGACTACTCTTAAATTTTATCACCTAGAACAGCATTCCTCAAATGGAGTTCTACAACCCAATCACCTAAGATGTTTTAAAAAAATAAAACAGATTTTCCCACCTATTGAATCTGAATCTTTTGGGTGTAGGGTCCCCACCTTTAACTGGTTCTCAGGAGATCCATGTGCAGTTAGACAAGGTGTTTAGAAATCACGGAGCTAGAACAGGGTTGGCAAACTCATTCTGTAAAGGGTCACACGGTAATATTTTGGTCTGGTGGGTTGTATGATCTCTCTTACCAAAAAAAATTGGAATGTAACGCAATTACCGAATCGTTTCAATCTCAATTTGAAGTTACAATTCAAAAGCAGCCATAGAGAATATCTAAACAAATGGGTATAATTGTGTTCCAATAAAACTTTATTTATAAAAACAGGGTCCAGGGGCCATCGTTTCCTGACCCTTGAGTTAAATAATTATTTAATTTGATAAAAATGACCTACAATGTCTAAATGCTTACTCTGCACTCAGTAGGTGCTTTTGGAATGAACTAATAAATAAAGAGCCCAAAGTAATGTAGTTGGTGGAACATCTTAAATTTGAAATAGACAATTATCAGGAAGGTCTTGGCTAAAATCATGCTGACACATGGAAATTCTTGGTGGTTGGGGGAGAATGATAATTGGAAGCATGGAGTATACATCTGAATTCTAATTAAGTCAGCTCATTTCTTGGTTTTCCATCTACAAATTATATTCTACCTAATTGACTTCCTGACAAAGGGTTGGTTGAGGAGTAATTTGTTTAATGCTTTAAAATGCTACATAGATGCTAAGCATTATTGCAGAAAGAGGTTTGTAAGCAAAAACCAAGAATAAGCAGCACTAAAACTGTGCTTTTTTATTCCTAAGCAAAACCTTTAGTTAAATGTCTCCTGGAAAGTGGCAGTTTGCCCCCAACTCAAATGTCACTCCCTCTCCCATTTTCTCAGGAAAACCTCAAGTACATTGTGTGGGTGATATTGAAAGACGTCAGGATCAAAGTGTATTTAAAGTTGCTAAGAGGAAGCAGATGTTCTCCTTAGCTGGGGAAAAGATGCTCAGAGTTTCCAGTGAAATATAAACTTCTCGAAGGCCCCATGGGATCATGCCTTAAAATGTCCCGCTTTTGTTTATGCCTCCCATATGCAAAACAGTGGTGAAATGTGTTGCTCTGGGAGAGACAAGGAAAGTTAATGAGCTAGAAACAATACGAAACTCAATACTAGGAAAAAAAAATTGGAACGTAACTTACTCTTAAAAAATAAACTAGGACAAGATTAGAATAGTTATTTCCCTCAATTCTGATTTTTGTATATATCTTTAAACCTCTATCTCTATTGCCAGAGGTAAGGGGGCTGGGTGAGAAGGGGATCCTTTGACTTTTGATGGTGGGCACATGGTGTAATATACAGATCTTGTAACATAGAAATCATACCTGAAACCGGTATGTTCATGTTAGCCAATGTGATCCCAATAAATTTAATTAAAAAACAACTAACAAAAAATCATCTATTTATGAATTAACCTGGTAGTTGGCTGGGTTAACAGTTTTTTTTAAAAAATTCTCTCTGCTCTCATGGTTTTCCAAGCAGAAGTAAGTTAAGAATTTTTTTTTTAATCACCTATAGATTGTAATTTTTCTTACTATAGCTAGTAACCAAGAAATAGTTACAATGGAAAGAGTAGTTAGTTGGTGGTTTATAAACTTAAATGAAATAAAGTATAAAACTAATGCTTTGAGGAGTGATGTGAATATAGACAATTATAATTTTCAGCCAGAAAAACATATAGAGATTGGTATTTCTCCCTAATCAGAGTGGCATGAAGTAGTAGACCCTATAGAGAAATGCTAACCAAATATATTTTGTGTATTTTTTTAATTAAATAAAAACTTGGGAAGAAGGTAAGTCCAGGGAACCCTGAGGGATCCTACAAGGTTCAAGACCAGCCTAAAGTTGAAAAGGGAAGCAGGGAGACAACTGGAATATTCATGGTTCCCAAATTACTGTAGAATGAGTCACCTGTGAAGGCCACAGTCTAGAGTGGTGAACTTGTTTTTTCTGTTTCTTCTTTCTGGATAAATTAATGAGAGATTAATTGGTCAAACTTGAAATACAACTATAATGACTATATTGTGTTAAGCACACAATCAATAAATTTTGTTTTTCATACATCTTGTGAGGTTTATTTAGGAATAGATTCTGGTGCTGTTATTGGGAACTAAAGCAAATAGAAAAGGGTTAGAGAAAGAGAGGACAGAACTTCTCTGGAAAGCAATAAGGATTGTAAGGAAAACTGGCTGGTCTTCATTTTGCAAGGCGGAGGGAGGAAAGTTTATTTAGGATGTGCAGAATATCAATTACCTCTAAGTAATACAAACTAATATCAGACAGTAAGTAGCTCATCCTAAAAACCATGTCTTATTCACTTTCTCATGTCCAGACTTGGCATAGAGAGGAAGTGCACAGTGATGATGCCTGCCCAGCACATATCAGGGTATGGAGCAGAATTAAAGGCTCACCTTTGAAATTGTAGTGATGGTATGAGCTAGTCTTCCCGTTTCATCTCAAAGAATTGGGTGAGTTACTCTACCTTGTCAAGGAAAGTGTCATAGAGCCAAGGAATGTTGAGCTGGAGGGCAACCTCACTGTTCCATTTTTGTAGATGACAATATTGAGATTCAAAGAAGAGACTTTCTTCTAACACCTTTAGTTGTTGTTGTTTTAAACAAACATTTATACAGAGCTTTTCAAAGTTTACAGAGTGATTCTACTTTTATATTGTTTTCATCTGATCCCTACAACAACCCTGCATTGTAAATACTGTTATGATAATAAATCCATTTTATAGATAAAAATTGGGGTCCACATAGATGAAGTGAAACATCATCCTTGCTTTCTCCCTCTCTTTGTCCCTTGTATCCACTTAATCAGTTAGTCCAGTGAAGACTCTTAAATATCACTTGAATCTTTTTATGTTTGAATATTCTCACCACCCCTGTTACAGACCAAACTGCTTTGCATTTCTCTCTTGATCATAGCAAAAGCTTATTATTAACCCACTATCTACCAGGGTTGACCATGACCCCAATTCTATCTCCAAATATTCTAAAACAAAGCTATGACTACGTTACTGCTCAGTTGAAAACCTTCAATAAATCCCAGAGTGCATGTCATCTGTGCATGGAGTAAAGGGCTGCTGTAGGTCCTCCCCCTATGGATTTAGTCTCAGTACTTACCTCTTCTGACACATCCATAGGCTGTTTCCCATTTTACAGTTCTCAGTAAGTCAACTGATAATGTGAAAGCATCTCATTGCAATGAAAATATCTCTTTCAACTTGAAGATTCTTCATTAATCCACTTGAAATTCTATTAGCTAGCATAGTGTCACATATTTGGCAGACATTCACCAAAGGTTTGCAGAATGGATGAATGATAGACAGATGGGTTCCTGTAGTTCCATTCCAAGCCAAAATTGTATTTTCTCATTCCTGATGGCAAGGGTCATGATTTACTTTCCTTAAAATTCTTGGTCAAATGGAAGTTTCCTATATATATCTATACTAATAATAGAGGAATATGTAAATTGTCCAGGACACCATCACAGTAACAGTAATGACCGAACAGCAGGCTGCGTGGGGCAACAAAGCCGGCAGGGGGGGTAGTGAAGGATGACCAAATGACTGAACAGCAGGCTGCATGGGGCAACCAGGCTGGCAGGGAGCAGTTGGTTCACATGTTAGGTTATTAGGTTCACATGTGGGAGTTATTAGGGCAAGCATGTCAAACTCAAAAGCTAACACGGGCCAAATAAATAAGGCATGTGGCCCGCAGGCCAAGAGTTTGACATGCTTTTACTAGGGGGTTGGGATACAAAGGAATCTCAAATTCCTTTGTATTTGAATGAAGACAATCAGGCAATCATAGCATCTAGGTTGGCCTTGCAGGATTTAGCACTATCAAGCCGGTGGCCCAAGACTGGCCACCACTGAATTTCCAGGCTTGCCACAATCCAGGATGCAATGCCCGCCTAGCTTCAGGCCCGTGGAGACCCTTATCTTTGAGATCTGAAGGCCATACCCCGTGCCTAGACCAGTGATGGCGAACCTTTTGAGCTCGGCGTGTCAGCATTTTGAAAAACCCTAACTTAACTCTGGTGTCGTGTCACATATAGAGATTTTTTGATATTTGCAACCATAGTAAAACAAAGACTTATATTTTTGGTATTTATTTTATAAATTTAAATGCCATTTAACAAAGAAAAATCAACCAAAAAAATGAGTGTGTGTGTCACCTCTGACACGCGTGTCATAGGTTCGCCATCACTGCTCTAGTGTGTGTGTGTGTGTGTGTATATATATATATATATTTTCCAAACTTCTTCTTCAATCTGTTTAAACTTTGTAGATATTGATTAGGTATCGCTTATAGGTAATATGTATATCCCTTGAATAACTTGACTTTTTTAGGGTTTTTAATGAATATACTATTAATGATTCAAATCCAGTATAAGTTATGAAGCTTGCTTGAATAAGTAGTAGAAAGCTTTTTTCTGAGTTTGACAGGTGATACTTTTCTTTTCAAGCATGAAACATTTTAATGTATGTCTGTTGTTATATTGCAGATGAAGATTCTATTTCATCCATTATTTGTGGTGTGAAAAGGACAACTTCATCATTAGCCTTCCATCTGCTCATGTAAACGTGGACATTTACCTTCAGCAATGATGATGGAGTTCTGTTTTCTGGT